TGGTTGGGGATTGGTTTGGGTTATAAGTCTATGATTTTAAATATAAAATGTGTAAAATATTTTATAATGTACTATATAAATAACACACACAGACAACCTAGGCCTAAGCCTAAGAAATTTTAGGTTGGGCTAGAAATGATCATCCCCCACTATTGTTTTCTCATTTTATAAGCAAAAAAAATGAGTTTAGGGGGAAGGGGGTGCAAATTTCATATAAGGTTTTCGAATGCAAAATTTAAACCACCTATAAATGCATATGAAACATAAAGAGCAATTTTTTCATCAAATAGGAATTTAGTACATAAAGTCAAGGTTCAAAGTATCAATGCTCTAGATAAGCAAAATTGTGTATCTAGAGTTTTAAACCATACTTTGCATATACTTTGCATATGCATCTCTCTCTCTCTCATTGGTAATTCAAATATAGATATGACAACACGAATATTTATGTTTAAACATATTAAAAGGATCTAAAATTCAGTATTTGTCATATTAGTGGCTATGAAAACTGATACATATACTTTGCACATGTCATAAAACAATGGATACAAATCTCAACAAGGTGTACCAACTAGCTGCATGGTTGGTAAAGTCTCTTCTTGGTTGTAGCAAAGACTTAGAATTGAACCCCACCTTCACTAAGGTTGGGCGGTTTATAGGTTTGGGGGATGTGTTGACATTTCTCTCCACTAGCATCTTTAATGCATCAAGCAATATCCCAAATCCTTATAAAAACAAGCAAAAAAAATCCTTATTATAAAAAAGTGTTCCCAGATGAGTCAGGTTTGATACAAGTTTGTCTTTACCCCAAGTAACCCAACCCTCCAATGCACTTCTAAAGTTCTACTTGAACCTCACCCTACCTAACTTAATAACATGCAGTTTATGAATTTACCTTGATGCTATAGGATTAAACCTTACCTATAGCTTTTAAATTGAGTTTTTTTATAACACAATTTGAAAATCCAAGAGCTATTAATTTAAGTTGAAATTTGGTTAACGGGTTTCAAGATGTCACTTCCTCCATAGTTAAAGAAGAAAATCCAAGACAAGTATAAAAGGAAATCTAAATCCCAAACATCAAGGGATATTGAAACCCAAGCTCATCTTAGGTTGGAGTGCTGAAACCCTAATTTGACATTCCTTCGTGCAAGATTTCAATGGATATTAACAAAATTGGAACAAGCTTAATGTTGCTTAGTAGTGTGATCTCCATGGGTCTAGCCTTATTAGTTAGGAGACTGGACTATTAAAATCAAGGAGTTTCCTTTGATCAAATGGCTAGTGCTTCATTTGCACTAGTGCAAAAGTATGGAAGTGTAAATACAAGAATATGGAAGTGGAAATGAGTTGAGTGCAAGTTCTATCTGCAGAAAAAAGAACTTTGATTCATTTTTGTTTTAAAATGAAAGGGAAAGAAACTTTATTTTTTATTATTTAATTCTATTTTGGTTTATTCATTGCCAAAAAATAAAGAAATTTGGTTTTATTTTTGTTTTATTCCTTGCATATAAAACATAGGGTTAATTACTTTATTACCTTGTACATTTTAGAAACTACTATATATATCTTGAACATTTAAAAACAACTTATATGTACCTTGTTGACCTTTTCAAGGTCAAATCTAACAGATAAAATGTAAAAGACAAAAATATCATTAATGGTTCATTAAGTTTTCAAAATATGCCATTTTTTCTTTCTTTTTCTTCTATATTTTCTCACTCATTCACTCACACTCTCTCTCCTCCTTATTATCGAAAAAATAAAAAATATTCAAACAATCAAATAATAACAATAACAAAAATAATAATAGATATACATATTTCTTTTTAGGGCTTGAAGCTCTGAGTCCCTCTCCATGTATATGAAAAAAAAATTATGGTTCTTAAATGCAATCACATGAGTGCCACCAACAGTTTCTTCAACACTTCTCCCAATTAAAAGCTACACGAATAGATATACATATATTTTATTTTTCTTTTGTACCAACATTCCCCCTTGTTTAAGCTTTTCTTAATCTTCAACTTCTAACAAAATTTGTCGACTTTCTTCTATTTATCGATTATTAACCTCAAACTACAAGAGAGTCGGCTTTTTGTCAACAAATGGTAGATAAAGGGGCTTTTGTGTGCATTGTAGGGATGAAGCCCTTGTACAAAATGCCATGGCCCCTGTGTGCTCTTTTCACTACTTACACTTGGGTTTTGAAGATAAAAGTTGTTTTTGAGTTTTGGGTTTTCTTCTCTCTCTCCCTCCCTCCCCCCTTCAGAAATTTATGTGTTGTGGTTTGAAAAGAAAAGAAAAAGAAAATGATTTGATGCTCTAGTTCGTTTGGGACAATGAGGAGAGAGGATATGATTTGTTCAACATTTTGAACATTTAGGGACAACTCTGGCATTATAAGTTTTTGGCGTAAGCTATTAACGACTCTAAAAACTAAATGGTGCAATGGCAAAGGACCTATTTGTGTTATGTGGGGCTAGTGAAAAACAAAAGTAAACTTGAATTTGCACTCTTATATACTTTTTATGTATTTGTACAAGTGCAAATGAAATTGCATTGCAAAAGAATATATAAAATTAATTTTTCTTTCTTTCCTTATACTAAATAAAAAGGGAAAATTTCTTAAAACCCTTATGTATTTTGACATACCCTCATTGTTTACATATTGTCTTAGAGTACCCTTATGTATTCTGACAATTGTTTAAAACCTCCCCTATTGTTAACTTTCCGTCACATAACATCATATGACCAATAGTTTTTGCAAAAATTCTGAAAATACCCTTTGGACGCATTGGTCCTCTCCCTCTCTCTCACAACACACACACACTCTCTCTTTCTCTCTCTCTCCTCATCTCCTTTGCACACAATCGACTATCAATGAAGTCGCCGCCGCCGCTGCAACCTTTGAAAGCAATGGTTCTTCTCCATAGCCAACTCGAGATGCCAATAAGTATCTCAGCAATGGCCATGCGAGCCGGTTGGCACAGGTCCGGTTCTTCTCTGCTGTCACCGCTGCAACCTTTTCTCTTTTCTTTGTTGTCCGTGGAGAGGCCAGAGACGATATTGGTCTCTTAAGAATCTATTCTTTATACTCTCATCCTTTCTGCTATATTATTACAGGAGAAACCTTCAATAATCTTCATCATTTCTGTAAAGTGCCCTTTTGTGCATTTTGTTTTAACTTTAACCCAAGTATTATTGCTTGTGGAGAGAACTAATGTGCCTAATCCAAACCAACTTTTGTCTCATGGAACAATTCAGGTTGGTCATGTGGATAGTTCATCCCCTTGGGCCCTACGCCTTAGCCAGTTAGCCTGCACTGGATTTGGACTAATTGTATTCTATTTTTCAATTCTTATATATAGGAAATAAAAGAGCTAGAAGTCTCTTTTTTCGACTTGTAGCATTAGTTTGTTAGGTTGAATCTTGGCATACTAGAGTGGCAAAAATGTGCACACCCACCCCATTTTGATTTTGATCTACCACCTGATGAGCTACTATATCACATGTAAACTGTAAAGAATCCCACGAGCATGTCAATGTTGTCTTATTATCTCAGGTGGCAACCCAGAATGTATTTACCTGTTTTCCATGTTACGCGATATGTTAGATTTTCAGTTTCACATCCATGTCTTACCTGGGAGAGCAACAACTCCATTTTCAGTGTGATAACATGGAACTAGACGTGGGTGTGGCTGATCTTGACAGCCCCTCATTACATTAATGGTGGATGTGTCCGTATTTTATTGGGGGCACAATTAGGAATGGCAACGGGGCGGGGATTATATTCCCCATTCCCTACCCTGACCCCCAAATCATCTGCCGGAGCTCGTTGGAAATCCAAATTCCCACGGACTGAGAGATTGAGACAGAGAAATTGAGATTGAGAGAGAAAAAGAGAGAGAGGACCATTGGGAGAGTTAAAGTTGGCGACGAGAGAGAGTCCGATGGGCGATGGCGATCAACGACGATAAATGAAGGTTAGAAGGACTGATGACTGAAACTCCTCTTTGAGTATCTCTTCTCTATCACTCGAGAAGGCACAGAAAGCTAGGGTTCTGAGTCTTCTGACGGCGATGGCGGTCGGTGAATCAATGAATCAGTGACGAAGAGTCGAAGATGAAGGAAGATGAAGGCACACAAGAAGCTAGGGTTCACTGGCTTAGCTGTTCCAAAGGTAGAGTTGAGAGTTCTCGACTTCTCTCTTCTCTTGGTCGAGTGTCGAGGGTTTTAGTTTAGTGTTTTACACTTTTATTGTTTTTAAAGTTTTAATAATTAATACTTTAAAAATGAATAATATTATATATATAAATATATAATATGTATACATTATATATATATATATATATATATTAAGCGGGGACAGGGATTGCATTCCCCGTCCCCGATCCCCGACCCCGTCAGGTTGGGGAGCCCGAATACCCGTGGGGGGACGGAGAAAATTACCACCTGTGACAATTCCGCAAGTTAATAAATAGAGGATTGAAGCAACATTAATGTTTCATTTAAAAAATTTAAAAGAGAATAATAGATAAAATAGTCATTTTAATATTTCTTTTGACGAATATACAACATAAAATATATCGCATAAAAATTTAAAGGAGAACAATGAGGTTTTAGGCAATACTTAAGGGCATTCTAAGTCAATATAAGTAATATGTAAACAGTAACAGTAGAATTGATCAATTAGCTAAACGTAATTTTAGAAATTTGCCCAATAAAACAGGCAACATAAAATCAGAAAAAAAAATAAGGCGATTTGTTGAAAATTGGCAAGAAAAAATCGGCTCGAATTGAAATTCCCGATTTTCTCCTTTCGGGATCTTTATTATTTATTATATTTGAATGCTGACGTGGAACGTTATTATTGGTTAAAATTGCCAAGATGTCTAGCAAATGCAGCCAATACCGCAATACGGAATAAAAGAGATTAAAAGCAAAAATTCGAATAAAGCGAATAAAAAACTGCGCGAATAATCGGCGAGGAATTGATCTACGCATTTGTTTTGGCGTAGGAAGAAAATGGCTAAAGCGATGAAGGGTGTGCATATGGATGGGGCATTGGAGATGCAGCAGCAATAGTTGCAGTGCTGGTGTGAATGTGGCGGCGGCGGCCGTGGCATCAGCATCTCTAGTCTCCTCCTCCCTCTCATCTCTCGTTTCTTCGAATAGAGCTTGCAGCAAACTTCTCGCCAGGGTTAGGGCTTGTTCGGGGACCCACTTAAGCTTCTTCTCTACTGCATCCGTGTTCCCTTCGTCGTTGTCGTCGAGCACCATCGCTGCCGCCTCTGCCATGCCGGGAGTGCAATCTCAAACGGTGGAGTGGCCTGCGAGCCGAGTCAGGGACACCTTTCTCAGCTTCTTCGAAGGGAAAGGCCATGTTAACTGGAATTCCAGCCCTGTTGTCCCTCTCAACGACCCCACTTTGCTATTCGCTAATGCTGGTTCGTTAAATTGTTTTCCCCTAACTTCATTTCTCAGTCTCTGTTATGATTCTGTTTGTTGATTGAATTCGATGAATTGGATGTATCGATTTTATAATCGATACTGTATTTTTTCTCTTTTTTTTCTGTTTAATCTATAATATATAGTTTCAAAGTTTTGATTTTTACGGGTAAAATTGCATTTTCTTTTGCGTACTGTACAAAAACAACACTAAACAATGTACAGAAGTTTGGGCTCTAGAGAGGAATGTAACTTGAAATTTGATGGTTGATGTAACTCTCCCATATTGTTACTTCCTTTGGTGTAGACAGATTCGAGGTCAGACATATGAAGTAGTAAACTTTGGTATTAAATAATGAGATTGCCATAGAAATGCTTTAAACTCAGTTGCTTGAAATTCTAGCAGATAGTTCCATATATTTTTCTATTTATGCATACAAATAAGTCCAACTGCTTTGGTACTGCACCGTGTTTTTTTTTTTTTTTTTGTAGTTTCAGCATCCTCTTGCAGAAGGAATGTTATGAAGGTGATTGGAATCCTGCCCCTTGTTTCCTGCCTAGTACTTCAGTCTTCAGTTTTATTTCCACAAGAGGAAGATAAAAGTGGTCCCTTGAGGAGAAAAAGTGGAAAACAAAATAAAGCTAAATTACTAGAAATGATTTCGATCTGTAAATATTTTCAAAGACTGCACTTGGTCTTCTGATTCACATATAAGCCATTTATTGTCTTTCAATTATCTTCTGAGGAATTGATAATTGCATTTGAATTTCCTTTTCATATCAAAGAAAATTTCTTCCTCTGTCCAAAAACAATAACTTATTTAAGTTTGAATGTGCTTCTTGTTTTTCATTGGCTTTAGATCCTTCTAAGGAGCATGATAATCCAGACTGGAATATTTTATTTTATTTTTGCAGGCATGAACCAGTTCAAACCAATCTTTTTAGGAACTGTTGATCCAAATACATCGTTGAGTAAACTCACTCGTGCTTGTAACACCCAAAAGTGCATTCGAGCTGGGGGAAAACACAATGATCTTGATGATGTAGGGAAAGACACTTACCACCATACCTTTTTTGAGATGCTTGGCAACTGGTCATTTGGAGACTACTTCAAAAGGGAGGCCATTGGATGGGCATGGGAGCTTCTTACACAGGTTAGAGGAGGTTAATTGGATGTTTTTATCTCTTCTTGCTTCAGTTTTCTTTTGACTTCAATTAGCACTTCTAACTACATAAACAAGTTGGAAATGACATTCTTCATAATTTGCTGAAGATTAAAACCCTCACCTGCTTGTACAAATGGATTGAGCATGGACTTTTTTTTTCCAAAGCCTGTTTTTTCTTTATGATAATGGGAACGATTTATTTTTACTTGATTTTTCTTGGTCTGATAATTACTTTTACTTCTTGATTTTGTCATCATTTATTTATAGGTGTATAAGTTACCTGCTGATCGGATCTATGCTACCTATTTTGGTGGTGATGAAAAGTCTGGCCTTTCCGCTGATGATGAAGCTAAGGAATTATGGCTGAAATTTTTGCCACCTGAACGTGTATTGCCTTTTGGTTCTAAGGTATGCCATTCTTGATTCTTTCTTTCCCTTATCCCAGTTCTGGTAACATTTCCCCATGCATCTGGAACATTTTAGAAACTTTTCTCCATTTTGTTTGCATATATGGTGAGATCATGCAACGTTTGAACAAGGCATGTAGACAACAACCATATTACTCTGCAGATTATACTGATGACCAACATGTGCTTTTATTTTTTCCTGTTAACATGAAAAAGGAGTCTGAATTTAGGTTGGGGGTAATTGATAATAAAAAAATTAGGTTGGGGGTAATTGATCAAAAAAAAAAGGTTGGGGGTAGGTCATAGGTGCTATTAAAATTTTTATTAAATAAGAAGAGGAAAAGAGGATACAAGATAAACAGGGACTGAAAAGAAGCCTACACCTTCCGCCCTATAAGGCGCTTTCCTTGTGAGGTGTCTCTGATTTGATATTTGCAGAATGGTTGTCAAGACGTTAGGCAATTCTGTGTGCATGTGATGTAGTTTTAGTAATAATATTACAATAAAGCATGCAATTTATGATTTTTGTCACCTATTAAGCATCTTGTCACCAAGTTCTGTGCCTGGTCCCCTAGATGATATTTTTTAAATATATAAAGTCATGACATTCAGTATAGATGCTGCACCAAGAGTGTCTTATTGCTTAGGTGGTGCTTTGATAACTATGATATGCAGCTGGAGCAAGAGAAAACATGATAGCACAGCTTGGTAGCTTACTCTCATGGTTGTACTTGACCTGCCTCTAGCCATATCCCAAATATTCTTGAAACTTGTTGGCCAATCCAGGCATGCTAGAGCATAACTGATGAAAAAAAAAAGATGAGTTGAAGTGCCAACAGCATTTTTCAAAAGGATTAACTTAGATTGTTTTAGGCTCATGTACACGATTTACACCTATTCAGCATAAAGAGATACCAAATAGTGTTTTGCCAATCATTAGAAAAATGGTGAAATTTAAATCCCGAAACTCACAAGCTTGATGGCCAAGTACTTATCTTCTCCACTTTTCCTTGGAAATTCCAACTTTGCCAAGATACCTGGACACTCGTAGAAGAGTACCATATCATGTTGTATACTTAATTTATAGTTTTGGTTCTTATTTCTGAAACAACATCTTGCCCAGCTGTGTCCTTGCCACATCTGGGTAACCTAGCAACTTGGGGCAACTTTTTCCATGCAAAAGACATGACTGTTTCTTTCTTTTCGTTTTTCACAAACTTATCATCCTTTGGTGAACCATTCATAGGACATGCATTTAAGTGATTCACTATCCCATGGTCTCATTCATTCTCACTGCGAAAGGCTTGTTGATGTGGAATAAAACCTTATATTAATACCCACAATGAAGAAGGAAGTATCGTATGATATTGATTCTTCCTTATTGTTTCTGATCATGGATGAATTCATGTCCAAAGTAGAGGCTTCTGATAAAGGGGGAAAAATCTAGACACTAAATGAGATGTTAGTATTTTTTTTAATCCAAAACCTGAGAGCTTGAAGAAACACATTATTGTGAAAGGCCTCCCAACATTGGGCTGATGGGGTTCCAAAAAGTAAGGTTGCTGGAGACTTGAGAAACCCCTGTTTGGGTCACATACTGCAGTTGAGCCTGAACAATAAAAAAAGGAATCTTTCTCCAATTCGATTTTTTTAATGAATTAAGTGAAAAATGTATTAATATATAAGGGAAATAGTAGGGAAAGGATACACCTTTAGGGCTTTAGGGAACCCAAATATTGAGCCATGATTTTTTTTTTTTTGATAAGTAATATAAAGCCATGGTTTTTTCCTTCTCCATTTCTGAAAACCCCTCCAATACCAGCCAAACATGGGTTTCGATGGCTGCAACCATCGGAGTTCAGCTTCACATTGCCTTGGTGACCATTTGATGAGGAGTGGAGCTTTAGTTGAGGAGGAATCAGCCTTCTATCGGTGCTGTTTATGAAGATATTGAGTTGGGACGTAAGGGGGTTGGGAGGGAAGATGAAGAGTTGAGGAGGAATCAGCCACTGCCTTCCAGTTTCTTATAATCAATGTTTTAAAATGTGGAGGCGTGATGCGAGGCGTTCCACTACCTAGAGGTGTGGGGCGTAGTTCAGAATGTAAGAGGTGTAAGCCTCCCGAACACAAGGAGGCTTACGCCTCCTTAAGAGGAGAGGGGTCAAGAGGAAGAAGGAAGAGGAAGGGGAGGAGGAAGAAGAGGAAGGGGGGATCTCATTTTTTCTTTATTTTTAATAAAATTCTTTTATATTAAGAAGAATAAAGATGCACGACACTAGTTGAAGGGGGGGGGAGGGTCTTGTCGAAGGGGCCAGGGGCAGACCACTTTCTTTCCCCTTATCTTTTCTTCCCTTCACTTTCCTTTTCTATCTTTTTTTTTTTTCCTTCTCTTTCTTTCCTTTCCTTTTCTTTCCCTTCCCTTAATTTTCTTTTCCTTTTCTTTTCTTTTCTTTTCTTTCCTTTTTTTTTCTTTTTTCTTTCTTTTTCAGTCTTTTTATATGAGGTGTGTATGAGGCACATGAGGCGTATACCTCCCACGCCTTTTAAAACACTGCTTATAATATCATCTATTAAGAAAGGAAAAAATCTCGATTATCTTCACATCTATCACCTCTTCGGTAATACAGCAAAAGCATCTGTGTGACATGGATTACTGTGATTTAAATTTATTTTGGTTATGCAAGTTGCAAGGTTAAAATTTCATTATATTGTATATGATGATTTTCTTCTTCACTTGCAACTTAACTCTATAGGGATAGTGCCTACAAATATTGTACTGCATATCATATTTTCTTGCGTAGATGTGGGTTATTAAATTGGCATTTGGCCTTTGTTCGTTTCTATTTTTATCCATATTTGTTCTAATTTCTGTTATCCTGTCATTGGCATATAGTATTGAGTTAATGGAAGAACATCCCTTTTAGTTTATATGGTTTCTGATGAAAAAAGGAAGGGCATCCTTTATCTAATTGCCCTATATTTTTTGTCTTTTAGGACAACTTCTGGGAGATGGGCGATACTGGTCCTTGCGGGCCTTGCACTGAAATCCATTATGATAGAATTGGTAACCGAGATGCTGCATCACTGGTCAACAATGATGATCCTACATGCATTGAGATCTGGAATCTTGTGTTCATTCAGGCATGCATTTCCCAATTTTGTATTATGATTTCTTATGTTTATTGGTGGTCCTTATGGTTTCTATCTATCATGGTATTTATTTTTTTTGCATCAGATTTTGACTGATCTATGGCCTGATTTTTCTTCTGCAGTTCAACAGGGAAAGTGATGGTTCCTTGAAACCTCTGCCGGCAAAACATGTTGACACTGGCATGGGTTTTGAACGATTGACCTCAGTTCTTCAAAACAAACTCAGTAATTATGATACTGATGTTTTCTTGCCCATATTTGATGCAATCCAAAAGGTACAAAATGTTTTAGGATATGTTCTTTACAACAATATAGTTGTCTCTGCTATGCACTGAATCAGATACAATTCATGTTGTATTTTGATGGGATTTAGGCCTTAGAAAAGGTTTTGATACTTATACCTACAGTTTTTTATCTGCTGAATTCTTTGGAAAGAGTTTATTTGGTTCCCTTTGATTCTGACTGCAAAATATGGTCTCATGGATATTCAGGCTCCTTATCTTGTTCTTCTTCTTTTTTCTGAAGAATAAAGAAAAAGAGGCTTTCATTAAGAATAAAAAGTAGTATGTTCTTGTTCCACTTCCTTTAAAGCCTTATCCTCTCCTTGTGCAGTACTCACTTTTCCTGCAAAGGAGGTGTGGATTGAACTGTAGGGCGGCGTGCATGTTGGGTTGATGTCAACCTTAATCCAATCTTATTTGTAGAACCCCTAACCCTCCTAAACCTAATCCAACCTGATGACTTCAGTTTGACCTGATTTCTTTAATTTTTTTTACTAAAAATGTTCTTATTTATTGGACTTGAGATTAGTGAACTAAGGTTAACTGACTTTAGCATTATTATATGAATAAGTAGGGCTGGCAATTTTCAAGTCAACTCGCTGAACCTGCCCAATCTGTGCCATTTATAACCTATCCAAACTTGCCCATATACTTAGCTGGTTGGAGATGATTTGAATGATCCAGTGTGTAGAGTTAAATGGGTTGGGTTGTTGGTACCCATTCAACCTGGAAAAAAAACCACCTTCATTCAGGTGGTGGGCCAACTATTCATCTATTCATGTTGAACAAGCCAACCTGTGATGTCATCATTAAATTAAAAAATACAAAAAAGGGTAAAATGCAAAAGTTACAGAAAATTTTAGGAAATCTATTAAAAAATGGGCATGTCTCTAATACTGTATATTCATCATATTAAACAAAATTTAGTGTGAAAAAAGTTATTTTTGTTAATGATGGAAATGGAAAAAAATATAATCAAATATCTAATTTGTGAACCACTAATTTAGTAAAATGGTTCAGTGCTTCAACTGGCTGTTTTATAGGGCAGTTGACAAGGTTAACTGGCCTAACCAGCTGGTCCAGCATGTGATTAGTATCAGTTTAGTCCACCAGATGGGTCACTAAGATGGTGTGGGAGTTGAATGGTCTGAACTCTCTGATTTGCTGAACCATTGGCAAGGTTAGTCAGTCTAGTCAACCAGTTGAATACGAACCAGCCAGTTTAGCATGTGTTCAGCATTGGACCAGTCCAACTGGATGGTCACTAAGATAGTGATGGAATTGAGTGGTGCAAACCAACTAGTTCATTGATCTGTTGGCAAGGTTGGCCAGCCCAGCCACGGGTTGAAAGCACACCTCTTCTAATGCTTGAGCTTAACTCCATTTAAGTTCCCTGTGTAAAAATTAATGCTCATAATGTGACTTTAACTTCCAATAAAAAACGTGACTTTAACCCAAAACACCAAAATGAAAGACAATCATTTTTATTATTAAGAATAACTGAATAAGATGGTTTTCAGAAACCTTTCCAAGAGGCCCCACCCCTTTCAGATTTGAAAACATGTGGCTCACACACCCAAATTTTGTGCGGGAAGTGGAGGGTTGGTGGAGGGAGGATTTAAGGGGGGTGAAGTGGAAAGGAGTGAGATTTCATAAGAAACTAAAAAGTTTGACAGAGAAAATTAAGGAATGGAACAAGGATAATTTCGGGAGAATAGAGGAACAAAAGGTCATTTTGATGTCCAAGATAGAGGAGTTAGATGAGAGGGAAGCTGAAGGAACCTTGATAGAAGAGGAAAGAGGATTGAGGTTTAGGATTAAGAAAGATTTGGAAGAAGATTTTCGTAAGGGAAGAGATCAGTTGGAGACAAAAGTCAAGGTGTAAGTGGTTGAAAGGTGATGATAACACAAAATTTTTGCATACTTTGGCAAATGGGGGGAGGAAAAATTTTGTGACCAGATTGGAGGTAGAAGGGCAAGAGATAACAAATCAAGATGAAATTGCTAGGATCTTTGTGGGCCACTTCAAATCAATTTTCAGGAGGCCCTTGGATCATAGATTATGATTGGAAGATTTTGAGTGGCCCCAAGTGGGGACTGAAGTAGCACAATGGCTAGAGAGAGACTTTGTAGAAGAGGAAATAAGGAAGGCAATTTTCTCAATGAATGGATCGAAAGCCCCGAGGCCAGATAGATTTATTATGGCTTTCTATCAAGACCATTGGGACATTGTAAAAGATGATCTTTGTGAGTTTTTCAATGAATTTGCAGAGAGGTTTATTGTGAGCTGAGGGGTGAACACAACCTTTCTTACTCTTATTCCAAAGAGCACTGATGCTAGTCATCCAAAGGACTTTAGACCCATAAGCCTAGTAACAAGCATCTACAAGATCTTGGCTAAGGTTCTCTCTTTGAGATTAAAAGTAATACTTCCTACCATAATCAGTCAAAATGAAGGGCCTTTATCCAAGGGAGACAAATAACTAATCAAATTCTTATCGCTAATGAATATGTGGAGGATATGAAAAGATCAAGGAAGAAAGGTTTTGTATTCAAATTGGATATGGAAAAAGCCTATGATTTGGTAGATTGGACTTTCCTTATTGAGGTAATGAAGAATTGTGGGTTTGGGGAGAGATGGTGTTATTGGATTTTTGGTTGCATTAATTCATGTCACTATTCTCTTTTGATTAATGGCATTGTGAGAGACTTCTTTCTAGCTTGTTGGGGTTTAAGGCAAGGTGATCCTCTTTCACCTTTTTTGTTCACCATAGTACTTGATGTGTTTAGTAGAATGATCTCGAAGGCGGATAAGGAGAATGTAATAAAAGGGTGGAAGATCGGAAGGGATATGGTTTTAGTGACACATTTGCAATTTGCAGATTGTTTCGACTTCTGCTACAGTAACCCGAACCCGTAAGAGGAAGAAGAAGAAGAGGAAGAAGAAGAGAAGAAGAAGGAAAAGAATGGACTGTCGAATCTAATGGGTAAACCCTATCAGTCGACCCCTTAATAGTAATTAGTCTCTAATTAAATTCTACAAAGACTAAACTGCCCTTACTTAAGTGTGGGGCAGAGTGTCTCTAATAAAACTGCCACATAAGCATACAACTTAACAAAGATATGATGACTAAACTACCCTTATTCGGCTCACTTTAACACTCCCCCTCAAGCTGGAGAATATATGTCATATAATCCCAGCTTGTTACATAGATAGTTCACTTTYCCTGAGCTTAGAGCTTTTGTAAACAAATCTGCCCACTGATCATTCGAGCCCACATGTTCTRTGTTTATCTCTCCAGCAAGAACCTTCTCCCTCACAAAGTGACAATCAACCTCTATGTGCTTCGTTCTCTCATGAAAAACAGGGTTGGATGAGATATGGAGTGCGGCTTGATTGTCATAGTACAATTTCATAGGTTTATCCATGCGGAACTCAATTTCTTGTAGGAGATTCCTCAACCACACTTATTCACAGGTAGTGTGTGCCATGGCCCTATACTCGGCTTCAACACTTCTTCTAGCCACAACCGTCTGCTTTTTACTCTTCCACGTCACAAGATTTCCTCCAAGAAATGTGCAATA